ATTTCTTGAAGACACACGGATCGACACGTAAGGCACAGCGTCCGACACGTTGTGATAATAGCAAAAAAGGAGGTGCAAATTTGCATGAATGCACATAATCTAAATGATCGTAACTTCTCATCCCCGAAATTCAGAGAGAAATGGCATATACATTAATATTATATGAATACAATCTCTTACAATACGCTCCCCAAATTGTATAACTTTGCGCTTGCTTAAGCATCTCATGAAACCTAATGTAAATCAATTACATATAAATACAATCCGTTTCAGTATGTTCCCAAACGTATATTGTTGCATATTTGCTTAATCATTGCATGGAAGATTATATAAATTAATTATGTATAAATACATGTCATTTCATTATGTTCGCAAAAGGATATACGTTTATAGTTGCTTCAGCATTTCAGGAAAGATTATATAAATTAATTAGATATGAATAAAAGCCATTTCATGATGTTACGAAATGTACATATCTTCATGCTTGTTTAATCATTTCAAGAAACACTATAAGAATTAATTTATATAATATGTAATATGATAATTGACGTAGATTACTTTAGAAACATTATATTGGTTTAAAAACTGAAATATATATATATATATATCAACATAATTTTGAATTATGAGTGTTGATATTATACATATATATATTATCAAAATTAATATCGATATTATATATATATATGTTTATATATATATAACGTATGTATGTATGTATGTATGTATGTCGTTCATTAAAACGATGGGCAAGGCACTACGGTTTAGCTTTTTATTTAAGTTTTCTTGGGTTTGAGCAAGAGCTTTCTTTTGCTGGACAAAGAATGTGTAAAAACTGTTCAAATGTTATATAATTCCGAGCGCTTTCGGCTATATCTTTCGCCATTATCAAGGATGATTCAATTTTTCAGCTTAATTGAGTGTGTGCATTATGTGTATGTTTTAGTGTGTTATAGAGATGTTTATAATTTCCGAATACGGTTATCACATTGTGGCCGTGTTCGTAGTTTATATTGTTAAGAGTTGGCTTTTTCTTTTTTAATATTAAAGTTTCTATTATTTTTAATCTATTTTACAGGTGGATGTAGTTATTATAAAAAAATGCTCTTTTCTGGACACAAATTGCGTAAAAACTGTCCAACTGTGTGCAGGAAGTAAAATACTTGTACGGACACAAAAACAAAAACATTAAATAGCATAATCGCAATACCTTGTGAAGCGTCTTTAACTAAACATGTGTAAAAGAGTGTTTGCTGCCTAATTACACAATTATTCATATATATATATATATATATATATATATATATATATATGTGTGTGTGTGTGTGTGTGTGTGTGTGTTTGTGTTTGTGTGTTGTGTTTGTGTGTGTGTATGTTTGCTTGTATATATTTGTGTGTGTGTGTATGTGTGCTTAAAGACAACTTGGTGAATCTAATAATTTACCCATGTTTTAATGTGCGAAAATATGCAAATATATATATTGAGCTATACACAACCACACACACATGCTTACACACATTCGTGTGTAAAAGTGCAACTATATTCATGTGTGTGTGAGAGAGGTTGGGAATTCATGTCTGTATATATGTGAATATGAACAACGTTCTATTGAAATTTTATTTCATCATTTTTCTCGTTATCAAATCACTTTTAAAACTCGGCAATAACTTGTTTATCGTCTTTATTGCGATGGCATCTGCCAGACCAGTGGCTCCACCTGTCGGCAAGTGTGAACGCTAGACATCGGCCACTCCTTTCCCAGTTTTATTTTCAGTGCATATTTGCGTAAGACAATCTCTGATTTAATAAACTTTGATGGAATCTAAAATGAAGAACTCAGACTAAAAATATATGAAAGGAGAGGAAAACGGAAAGTATGAGACGAGGGAAAATGACATAAATTTGAATACTGGATTTTTAAAGAAGAACGTCACGGACAGAAGTGAAGTAGAGAGAAGAAGTAGAAGACAACAGAAGAAGACAACAGAAGATAGAAGAAGAAGTAGAAGACAACAGCAGAAGAAGACGAAGACAACAGCAGAAGAAGAAGACAACAGAAGATAGAAGACAACAGAAGAAGACAACAGAAAAAGAAGACAACAGAAGATAGAAGAAGAAGTAGAAGACAACAGAAGAAGAAGACAACAGAAGAAGAAGACAACAGAAGAAGAAGAAAACGAAGACAACAGATGAAGAAGAAGAAGACAATAGAAGAAGAAGAAGAAGACAACAGAAGATAGAAGAAGTAGAAGACAACAGAAAAGGAGGAAGAAGACAACAGAAGAAGACGAAGACAACAGAAGAAGAGGAAGAAGATAATTAAGCATAAAAGAAGAATAAAATGAATATAATAGAAGAAGGAGAAAACAACAGTAGAAGAAGACAACAGAAGATAGAAGGAGAAGACGAAGACAACAGCAGAAGAAGAAGACAACAGAAGAAGAAGAAGACAACAGAAGACAACAGAAGAAGACAACAGAAGAAGACAACAGAAGAAGAAGAAGACGAAGACAACAGAAGAAGAAGAAGACAACAGAAGAAGAAGACAACAGAAGAAGAAGAAGACGAAGACAACAGAAGAAGAAGAAGACGAAGACAACAGAAGAAGAAGAAGACAACAGAAGAAGAAGACAATAGAAGAAGAAGAGTAAGAAGATAATTAAGCATAAAAGAAGAATAAAATGAATATAATAGAAGAAGGAGAAAACAACAGTAGAAGAAGACAACAGAAGATAGAAGGAGAAGACGAAGACAACAGCAGAAGAAGAAGACAACAGAAGAAGAAGAAGACAACAGAAGAAGACAACAGAAGAAGAAGAAGACGAAGACAACAGAAGAAGAAGACAACAGAAGAAGAAGAAGACAACAGAAGAAGAAGACAACAGAAGAAGAAGAAGACAACAGAAGAAGACAACAGAAGAAGAAGAAGACGAAGACAACAGAAGAAGAAGAAGACAACAGAAGAAGAAGAAGACAATAGAAGAAGAAGAGGAAGAAGATAATTAAGCATAAAAGAAGAATAAAATGAATATAATAGAAGAAGGAGAAAACAACAGTAGAAGAAGACAACAGAAGATAGAAGGAGAAGACGAAGACAACAGCAGAAGAAGAAGACAACAGAAGACAACAGAAGAAGAAGAAGACAACAGAAGACAACAGAAGGAGAAGAAGACGAAGACAACAGAAGAAGAAGAAGACAACAGAAGAAGAAGACAACAGAAGAAGAAGACAACAGAAGAAGAAGAAGATGAAGAAGAAGAAGAAGACAACAGAAGAAGAAGAACAAGTAGAAGACAACAGTAAAAGAAGAAGAAGACAACAGAAAAAGAAGACAACAGAAGAAAAAGGAGACAACAGAAGAAGAAGAAGATAATTAAACATAAAAGAAGAATAAAATGAATATAATAGAAGAAGCAGAAAACAGGAAATCATAGAAGAAAATAGATTCAGCTAATAGAAAAACAAGAAAGAAAATTGAAGAATTTAAGAGAAAAAGAAGAAAATGCAAGAACGTATTTGAAAATGTAATAGAAAATAACAAGAAAATAGAAAAAAGATAATAGTAGAAAATAGAAGATTAGAAGAAAATAATAGAATAGTAAGAATAAGGTAGAAAAAGAAAATATAAAACAAATGAAAATAGGAGATATTAAAAGAGAAATAAAATAGAAGATAATTGTTGTAACGTATTGAAGGTCATTGAATAAAATAATAAAAACAAAGGTTGGTAATGAAGGATAATACTTAGGACATGAACAACGCGTATAAGATTCGCCAGCGGTGCGTAGCAGAAGTACTCAACTGCTAGAAGTGAGTCAAGTTAATTCCACAATGAATCTCCAACTGCAAGACATCTACGAACCACCCACGCGAATTTAATATGGGAGATCCGAGACCGTAGGCTCGACGAAAAATTCCAATATAAAACGTAGTCGGTTAGCTGTTTCCCGAGACGAGACTCTGCACTTCGACATAACCTCGTCAGAGGATCCTCTCTACCCAGAAGCAGAGAGTTTGAACATCACAGCGGGAGACGAATCTCCAACTGCAGGATATCTACTAACCTCCCCACGCGGTCACATGTGATACAAGGCCGAATTTAATGTGGGGTAGGCTCGGCCAAATCTCCCCCGTATAAAACGTGGTCGAGTCGCTGTTTTCCCGAGACGAGACTCTGCCCTTCGATATAGCCTCGTTTAGGGATCCTCTCTGCCCGGAGGCATAGAGGTTACCCAACACAGCTGGAGACGAATCTCCAACTGCAGACCAACATACAGTATTTACTACAGTATTTATGTGAATGGAGACATACCCATTATCGTCCGTAGGTTTGCTACAACAAAAATAGAATATAATAGAAGACGATAATTGTTATGGTCCGGTTCCTTGTACCCCGGGTGATAGTCTAAGGTAGAACCAATAAAGAAGAACTCGAACACGGACATGGAATAACACAGATATATTACAAACAGGAATATATACAGAGAAGAAGAAAGTGTTAGTACGAACAATCAGGTTTAGTAGAGAGAACAATATAGTTTCGACCAGTATTACTATTCCAATGTCTTGCAGTAATTGTCTGAACGCGACTCTGTTTCGGACTGCCTCTGACTCGCTCGCTCTGACTGACTGACAGACTCCTGACGGATTTTACTCCAGACTTCAGACTGAACGGTATTTAGTCACCCCCACCCTACGAGGGCATCATGTGGCACAAGGCCGGTTTAACGTGGGATCTCCGAGCCCGTGGGCTCGGCCAAAAATATGCCCTTTGAACCTGTATAAACGTGTTCAGGGTCGGTTTTACTTCCCCGAAAGAGACTCCGCCCTTCGGCGTAGCCTCGTTCGGGTTCCTCCTCGCCCGAAGGCAGAGAGTTCAACCGATCAGCGCGGTCAGCCGGTCGCCCGACTTCAAACTGAACTCTGACTTCCTCTTGGGGCGCAGTATTTATTACGTATGGAATAGTCCATTATGTTATTATGGGTAAGGTCCCATAACAATAATAGAAGAAGAAGAAGAAGAAGAAGAAGAAGAAGAAGAAGAAGAAGAAGAAGAAAATAGAAAACGATATTAGAAGATAATAGAAAAAAGGAATAAAATAGAAAAACATAATAGAAAAAAAAGAAGAAACTATCAGAATATAATAAAAGACAATAGATGGAGAAGAAATTAGAATATAATAGAAGATAATAAAAGAAGAAGAAAATAGGAAAAGATAATAGAAAAAAAAGAACCAAAATTAGTATGTATACAGTTATTTCCTAACTCTCTATTCTGCTCTGTATAGTATAGGACGATTGGTAGGTTTTGCTGCTGTAGTTCCGTTACAAATACGTTTTTAAGGGATGAAGTTACTAGCCGCTCGCTTAATCGGTTCGGAATTCAGTTGTCGTCCTCCTATGTTGTTGCCAACCAAACTTAGAGAGCCCTATAACGCTCTGCTATGAACCTCTATCTAGAGCAAGAATAGATGGATAGGAGAGAGAATACGCTGACATAAAATGAGGACGTGAAGGGGAGATCTTACAAAAAGATATATAAACAAGAAAACGAATGATAAAAGAAAATATTAATAGCAGTGAAGCAGAGGAAAGCTCTTAAAAAAAAAACAATTTATTAATAAGTTTAGAAATGATCTTTCGATAGGAAAAAAGTAAAAAGAATTGGAAGTTCTAAGAAGCTGAGATAATAAAATGCGTTTTTAAAGGCCTAGACGTTAAAAGACAGATACAAATGGTTGTCTACAAAAAGAATTAAAAAAAAAAACATGAGAGAGAAAAGGTGGTATAAAATGAGTTGTGGGAACAGAAGGGACGCGGACGTGAGAGAAATACATGAAAAAAGCTATCTGAAGGGAATGAGAGAAAAAGAAAGTAACAGAACGTGTAAGAGATGAAATGAAAGCGAAGGAAAACGAAATGAAAGATGGAACGAAACGGCAGAATAAAAATATGAAGCGTAAAGAAGTTGATAAAAATAGAAATGTACGAAAAAAAAAAAAAAGGAAAAAAAATCAGCGGTAAATAGCGAGACAGAAATGATCAGAAGAGAAAGGAAACATTTTATATTACCAAGAGCGCGAACGTTGTTTTAAAAAATGCAAGTTTAGTTCGGTAAAAGCAAACGCGGCAAAGAGTCGAACAAATATGGCGACAATAGAAGAGCTGAAAAGGTAGAAGATTTTGTTAAATACATTGCTTAGCAACAAAATGGTGGAAGCCCTGAGTAAAAACATATTACCTTTTTTTTAATTTCTTCCGTTTTTAATAAAATGGTTTTTAACTGGAATGAAAAGAAAACACAAAACAGATAAGCTCATATGACAAATGCAAAACAATGAAAGAGAAATATGAGGAAGACTATATCAGTAATAATTCTGAAAAAATACCCGAGACATTCATACGGATAATAACTGCACGAGAAGAAGATAATAGAAGATAAGAAGAAGAAGAAAATAGAAAAAAAGGCAATAGATGATTATAGAAGAAGAAAATAGAAGATTATAGAAGAAGAAAATAGAAGATTATAGAAGAAGAAAATAGAAGATTATAGAAGAAGAAAACAGAAGAAAGCAATAGAAGAAGAAAAAGAAGAAGAAGAAATAGAAGAAGATAAGTTAAGAAGAAGAAAATAAACGAATACAAAACAACATAAAAGAAGAAGGTAATTAAAGAAGAAAAATAGGAGTTAATACAAGAGAGATTGTTTAGCTATCATTTACCGAAAAAAAAGAAGTCTTACAACACACACGCATTTGACCCATACCTGGAGGGAAAGCGATACACGGCTTTTTTTTTTTTTTTTTTTTAAGAAACAGATCCGGTCAGTATACATCTGAATCCGACCAAATCAACGAACGATAAGCACCGAAAAGAAATATCGATTTTCATTAAAATAAAATATAAAATAAGCTCGAACTTTGAGTAATCTTTTAACACATATAAGCGAGACAAAAATAATATAGTTCTTGGTAATTTTTAAAAATAATTTCACCTCAAGCAAGGTTATAAAGATACTAAGACATGAGGGTTTACTAAATGTGAATGAAACTGAAAAAAAAATCCTCAAAGAGATATGCCAATAAAAGAAGCAGAACAAAAGAGTCAGAAGATGACGATTGATATTGCATTTAAATTTTTGATTATCAAAGCTAACTGGGAAGGAAGAAGACAGAAGAGAGATTCATAAGAGAGAAATGCAAGAGAAGAAACTGTTAGCAAAGAACTTACGATTACATCTCGCCATTTCTACTGTAAAATGACGAGACCTTGCTGCCAATCTAGCAGTAAGCTTAGATTCGTAAAGTCGAGGTACTAAAGGGGAATGCTCATCGGAGCTGTTACCATGAAAACATTTACAGAAAATGCAGCTACGTTACGGTGGCGGGAAAGTGGGTGAAGCCGAGATGCCAGGTAAGAATCAATAACATTGCAGATTCTTTGGATACTACCAAGGAGCTGTAAATACATTTCCGAAGCACCAGATCAGAGGTGACATTCATATTTAATGCATAGCCGAATGGCAAATATTTAAAGGTGAAAGATTCTGTTGATAAAAATTCTCCAGCAGGATACAATGAAACACGAAACTTAGAAATTGATTAACTATAATAGCACCCAAAAAGACGCAATGATTCAATCTCTTGGAGTCATCATCAGTGGTTGTCTGTTCGAAAAAATGGTCTTTTAAAACGGAGCAGTTTCGTTTGCGACTGTTGCAGTTTTTTTTTGTGTATATGTATATACTAGTGAGTTAGCCCAAATGACTTGACTCACTTTATAGTCCACCAATAGAAGGTTAACCAATCAGAAGACGTAGAATATTCAATCCGTCGTGTATAAAGGCGGCCATTTTGTTTACTCTATCCGAATGTCCACTGCCAGCTTGTCAGGCGAAGAGTAACAGAAGGAAGAACTACGCTCTGCTACTTTACCGGGATATCCACTGCTAACCTGAACAACGCTTTCCTACTGTCTTCGAAATATTCACTGCTAACCTCTGGATTCTATACTCAAAGACGACCGTCATCATGAACAACAGCGAGGCATTAAAATTAGAAAGCCATTTCTTGCTCCAATTAACAAGGATTGATGTTCACTTTTTAGATCAGCTGCCAATTTGACCTTATATAACCTATCAGAATTACTATTAAAATATTAAACGTTTACGTCATCAACATACATACAAAAATAAGTAATAAAGAATGTAGGTAATAATTAATATAATAATAATAATAATAATCAGAAGAAGAAGAAGAAGAAGAAGAAAAAGAAGAAAACAGAGTATGAGCCCTAAACACCTTGGCTCTCCCTGTGTGGCAATATATTTCCAACATCCTTAACTGGACCGTAGCTGACATTAAGCGAATGGGCGCCAAAGCCAGAAAAGTTCTCATTTGCCACCACATGCATCATCCTAAAGCTGATTCTTTTCGCCTGTATGTGCCTAGATCCGAAGGAGGCAGTGAATTATTTCAACTAGAACTGTTTTACAAAATACAACAATTGGTCTTCAAAGTTACCTGGAAACTACTGAAGACAGGATGATGATATCTGTCAAAGAACATGTAAGAGTAAGAAACGTTATTCAGTAATAAAGGAAGCCAACAAGTTCAAAATGGAATTTCAAATAGATGAAGAAATGCGATTAAAGCATAATGCAATGACTGCAGCTGTAAAATACTTAAAAAAGAAGGCAAATGCAACTGACCATATACAAAAACGATGGCAAGATAAACCGCTTCATGGTTAATGCTCTGACCGTACCAAACAAACTGCAGACAAACCCTGTCACAATCAGTGGTTAAAATCTGAAACTGAAAGTTATTCTTGCTGCACAGGACTAATGTTTGCTAACTAGAAATTACCAAGTACACGTACTGAAAAATTGTGTCAGGCCAAAATACAAATTCTGTGATAAATATCCAGAAACCATTGACTATCTTGTATCAGGTTGCGCGGTATTGACACGCACTGAATATAAAATCTGGCACGAGGAAGTGGGAAAATATCTGCACTGGAAAATCTGTAAGATTTACAGAAAGGAAAGTGCAAGAAATTGGTATGAACACCCGGTTACGCAGGTAGGACCTGTCAGAATTTTATGGGACTTTACAATACACACAGACAGAACAATCTAAGCTAATCTCCCAGACATCGTGATTAGAGACCGAAAAGAAATCAATGTACCTTTTTATTGACATGGCAGTTCCTGCAGACTGTAATGTATCTTTGAAGATCTTCAAAGAAATATCAAAATACAAAAACATTGAAAGCGAAATCTTTAAAAATTGTTATATGAGGACATCAACAATTCCTGTTGCAATTGGAGCCCTTGGATTAATTGGAAAAGATTCCAATATACTCATTGAAATGTTTCCTGGTAGCCCATGCATTAAAGAAATACAAAAATGGTTCTCACAAGTACGGCCCACACCTTATGAGGGCATTATCTATGTAAAATATGTCAGTCATATTTTTTTTTTCAAAACTGCTCAATGGAAAATGTCATGATGCCATTTCTGACCTTAGGTCTCTGGTCGGGACCCAGAAAGAAATGAATATACACCAGAAATCAAAAGAAATAATAATAATAAATAAATAAATAAATAAACTTGTATGAACACTACCCAGACCCGGTTACGAAGATAGGACCTGTTACAATTCTATGGGACTACACAATACACACTGACAGAACAATCAAAGCCAACCGCCCAGATATTGTTATTAGAGATCACAAACAAAAAAAAGTGCCTCCTTGTTGATATTGCAGTCCCAGTAGACTGCAATGTGTCTTTGAAGATATTCAAAAAGCTGTCAAAATACAAGGACCTTGAAATCGAAATCACAAAAATGTGGGGCATGGGAACATCAATAAACCCAGTAGTAGTTGGAGCACTAGGATTGTTTGGAAAAGATTCCAGTAGACTAATTGAAGGGAATCCTGGAAAACTATGCATCAAAGAAATACAAAAAAAAATGTTCTCATAAGTACATCCCACACTTTACGGAGGGCTTTATCCATCTAATTTTTTTTTTTTTTTTTTTGTCAGTGGAAAGTGTTATGATGCCATTTCTAACGTTAGGTCCCTGGGCGGGACCCGGAAAGAAAAGTGTAAACGCCAGAAATCAAAGAAAATAAAAATAATAATAAATGTCCGGAGATAACGTGACTCACATAATTCCAAATCTTAACTGAGTGAATATGTTAACATGTTAATATGTCACTATTTACATTATTCGGACTATTTTCCTCATCTTTGCTGCCATATTTATCACAACCTTTTGACCCTTGTACGCTCCGGCCTACTTTAGGTGGTTGGAATGTCGAACAGGAGATAACTGATAACTGACATCCATTAGACATGGCACGTGGAACTAGAACAATCTACCGAGCGAGTGAATTAAAGGGTTCAATTCGACATCCCAACCACTTGAAGAAGGCCGGAGCTTACAACGGCCACAACGTTGTGATAAATATAGCAACAAAGACGAGGACAATAGTCCGAATAATATAAATAGTGTACATGATACCTCATCTCAAAAATATAGACAGATAATGTCAATATGTCATTTAGTAACAAAGATTTACCTAACTTAAACTATGTCTAGATACATCACCAGTTGTGGATTTGTAGTAAAGCAATGACTCAACTGAAATTAGCAGATAGAAAAAGCGAGGAGGGTAAACGACAAAATAGTGTCACACGTCCAACCTTCTCACGAGCAAAAAAACAAAGATCACAGAAACAAAAACGCGCATGCTTTATACAGCCGAGGACCGACCATCATTTGCATGCGAATGACGAGACAACGAGATATCACGTTAACACTCCGAGACCGCATGGCAGAAAACATGGGCGCCGCCATTTTGTTTTGTTTTTTTTTATCTTTGAGCAGCCGGAGTTTGTACGATGCACAGATTCGTGGGCGTTTCTGAGGTAAGCCATATTCACAATTTTCCCGACTCCAATCTTAACTGATTGCGGCTGTTAACATATGCATGATTTGTCTTGGTGAATTAAGATCGGCTATAGTAAATGTCCCGTTCAGTAAAAAACAGAATTGCTTGTTACATACCTGACCTTAACCAGTGGGTAATGTTTCATTGGGGTTGACGTACTTTTCATCTATGATTCTGAGCCGGTGGGTAACATGATTGCCGGGTGTGAAAGGGTGGTCTTTTTCTTAAGTTTGAAGAATGAGTCAGCCAAGACGACTTGCGAGTGAGTCCCATTTAGATAACTTGGAACACCCTTATTTAATTACAGTTTTAAAATAGGACATCGATTTCCTGGTGAATATTATCTATAAAGTTTGGCTATTAACTACCAGAGAAAAAGAAAAAAAAACGAAGTCTTACAAAACAGACGCATTTGACCCATGACTAGAGGGAAAGGGATACATGTCATTTGGAAGAAACAGACGACGTTATGCCGATTTCACTTTCTTTGGTACCTGCAACGCTAGGAGCATATTTACTAAGAATATCATTTGGAAAAATATAAAAATAAAAAGCAAGTAATCCGGCTATAAATACTGAGTAGACAAACGACTTTTCTAATTTAATACGTCATAAAATGTCTTAAAGGTGGAAAAATGCTTCGGTTAAAATAGAGTCCATTGAAAAGCGAATGAGATTACTTGTCCGAACCAATTCTGATATAAGTCCATAATCTATAATCATACTGGAATCATAAGAGACATTATAGATAGATAGATAGATAGATAGATAGATAGATAGATAGAGACAACGACGAAATTATTCGTATTCGTACTCAAAATAATATCTATCTATCTATCTATTTATCTATCTCAGTCTATATCTATATATACATGTATGTATCTATGTATCTACCTCCGTCCATATCTATCTATCTATCTATCTATCTATCTATCTACAGTCAACGACGAAATTATTCGTACACCCATAAATTTTGAATATTTTTTTCCATTTCTCAAAATCTTATGCTCGTATGATGCAAATTTTTTTATGTCAATGAGCACAAAAAAGGAATACAAAACTCAGGAAAAGACAATTATTCGTGCAGTAGAAAATAACGTTTTAAATTGATTGATTCATGTAAGTATAATTTATATAATTATTTTATCGGCGAAGCCTTCTAAACAATTTATTCAGTAGAATATTTGTGATAATTCGAGGAAAGCGCATCATGTGGTGCATAGAGTGTGACCATTGTTAGTCTTCCATTAACAACACAATGGGGAAGAAAAACGAGCTTAGCTTTGACTCGAGATAGATAATTATTAACATTCAAAAGTCAGGAAATTGTTACAGCTCTATTTCAAACCGGTTAGCTATCCCTAGATCTACGGTATAGTCCATTATAAAGAATTTTAAACAGTTTAGCACGACAGAGAATTTGCCTGGGCGTTGAAGAAAACTCAAATTGTCACCAAGAACTACACTAAAACTGTGTCGCAAGGTTAATATAAACCCAAGAGTTGTTTTGAAATACATCGCCAAAAGTTTGGATACGATGGGTATCAGCGTAAGTACTCGCACAATACAACGTTGTTTAAATAGAAATGGGTTGTATTGAACAAACCACGATGAATCTCTCTTCACAACCGATGTCATATTATCGCTCTTTTTAATGTTGCCAAAACGTTCTTGGACAAAGAAAATTACTTTTGGAATCAAGTACTATGTAGTGATGAAACAAAAAAAAAATGAGCTTTCTAGAAATAATGATGTGCAAAAGATTTCCTCCCAAAGAACACAATGACAACATTAAAACATGATGTTTAGGGGTTGTTTTAGCTCAAGGGAGACTGGACAATTAATTGGAATAAGAGGAATAATGCAGACTATATCATAATTCTGGATGAAAATGTACAACTATCGCACAAAATATTCATCTAGGCCGGTGATTTACTTTCCAGCAACATAATGATCCCAAAATTAATTCTAAAGCAGTGACTGACTGCGTGAATTCAGAAAAAATAATATTACAGTTCTGCCATGACCTTCAATGACACCTGACTTGTATCCAATTGAAAATCTATGGCAAGAATTTTTCGAGTAAATCGTCGGCCAGCAAAATGCATTCAGGACTTAGAATGTGTAACCATTGAAGAATGGTAGAAAATACCAGAAATGATTACTTCCAATACCCTCCAAAACTTCAGAAAACGATTACACCAAGTTATAAAGATGAGAGGCCATCCTACTGGTCGTTAATATTGTGAAAATTCTTCAAGTTTTTCTATTTTTCGTACTGTACAAATAATTTTGTCTTTTCCTATTTTGCATAATTCGCCTGTCAAATTTGTTGTATTTCACCAATTGTTCTGAAAATTGAGTTTTATATTCCTTTTTTTTGTGCTTATTAACATAAAAAAAATTGGCACAATACGAGCATTAGATTCTGAGAAATGGATAAAGATATTCAAAATTGATGGGTGTACGAATAATTTAGTCGTTCACTGTAGATAGATAGATAGATAGATAGATAGATAGATAGATAGATGATGAGGTAGATATAGACGGAGGTAGATACATAGATACATATATGCATATATAGGAATAGACTGAGATAGATAGATAGATAGATAGATAGATAGATAGATAGATAGATAGATAGATCCTGGGGTAGATATGGACGGAGGTAGATACATAGATACATATATGCATATATAGGAATAGACTGAGATAGATAGATAGATAGATAGATCCTGGGGTAGATATGGACGGAGGTAGATACATAGATACATATATGCATATATAGGAATAGACTGAGATAGATAGATAGATAGATAGATAGATAGATAGATAGATAGATAGATAGATAGATAGATATTATTTTGAGCCATAAGTAATTTCCTTACATGCAACCAGTTGTAATGACAAATGTATCATTCTAACAATAACTCATACTTGGCAGTTACAATTAAATTTTGTGTCTGCTAACATATTTTTAAGCATTTCACCCTATGCAAGTCGGGACGCCACTAGTACGCACGGGTTTAGAGAGAGGGGTGCATGAGTATAGAGGCGTGACAGAGGAAAGGATGAAGAGAAGGGCAGGGAATAGATCAAGACATCTGGAGATGTCGATTGACATTACATTTGAATAGTTGGAGATTATAGCTATGAGGGAAACAAGAAATGGGGAGGGAGCTCCACAGACGAGAGGTGCGAGATATGAAGCGAAACATGATTAATAGTTTCGACAGTGAAAGGGTGAAACTGAGATGCCAACCTAGTACCACGTTTAAATTCATGCAGTTTGGGAACTAGCGAAAGTAGCTCGTCGGAGCAGTTACCGTGAAAGTATTTGTAGAAAAGACAGAGGGAGGCGACGGCACGTCTATGAGAGAGTTACAGTAGACGCGATGACAGATTAGGGCCAATCACATTGCACACCCGTTTCTGGATTTTGTCGAGGACCTTAAGACGAACAGCGGGGCCACCAGAATATATATGGCAGCAGTATTCCATGCAAGGGTGAATGGTTGATTTATAGATTTATAGAGCGAGAAAAAACTCAGGGAATCAACTTTAATTTATTATTATTTAGACGCCAGTGGGTGCGTCTATAGTTGGTTAAATGAAACATATTCTACTTCTTCATGACAACGCAAGGGTGTACAGAAGAAGAATGACACATGGAAAATGATAGAACTCGGATGGTCTGTTCACCTGACCCTGCACCAACCGATTAAAACTTGTTTCGCGCGCTACAAAATTCTTTGATGGTGAAAACATTCTTCGGTAAAAAACAGATTCAAAAGTTCATCGATAATTGTTATGGTCCGGTTCCTTGTACTATGTTGGTAGTCCAAGGTAGAACCAATAAAGAAGAACGCGAACACAGGTATGGAATAACACAGATATATTACAAACAGGAATATATACAGAGAAGTAGAAGCGTTAGTAAGAACAATCAGGTTTAGTAGAGAGGGCAATGTAGTCTCGACCAGTATCACTATTCCAATGTCTTGCAGTAATTGTCTGAACGCGACTCTGTTTCGGACTGCCTCTGACTCGACTCTTGACTCGACTTGAACTACTGACTCGACTCTTTGCCTACTCCTGAGGCGCAGTATTTATTAAGTATGGAATAGTCCATTATTATTATTATTATGGGTAAGATTCCATAACAATAATGTTTTAAGAAGAAAAAACTACATTTTTTTTTCACATGGCATCACAATGTCGTTGTAAATAATGGAAGATACATAAATGAATAAAATATAGATATTCTATATTTTGAAGTATAACGTTTATCAACAAAATAGGAAATTTATTATAGAACAACGTAATATTTCTGCATTAATTCCAGAAAACAAGTGAAACTTATGATATATTACAGAAAATAGAAAACTGCAAACCTTGTCGTCAATAGTCAAAATGACCCCATCAAATGTAAACTAGCGATGACCAATAATTTATCAATTTCACTGCCCAGTACAAGACTGTGTTCCTTGTGATAAATTAGTTAACTATATTGGACATCCGATCACGTCCTTCAGTAGACACCTCACATATGACATAAGGGAGTAAAGCCGGATAACAAAATCTATCAACCCACAACACAAGAAACCTTAGGAAAAATAATGGTCGAAACACTAGAGTCCTATGTAAATCAAAATTCCGAAAACAGATCGTTATATATTCGTATATCGAACAGCTCTCACCCAGCGGCAACCTCACCTTCGTTAACAATAGAAATGATGTGCTGAAATTATTTTAAAACAATAGAAAGTAGTCCACTCGAATTCCAGCTATGCCAAACATATGACGGCACGGAATTAACGTTCCTACTAGAATTCCCAAATACGCACGCACGCACGCACACACACACACACACACACACACACACACACACACACACACACACACACACACATATATATATATATATATATATATATATATATATATATATATAGAGAGAGAGAGAGAGATAGATAGATAGATAGATAGATAGATAGACAGACAAGACAATGATGAATTATTTCCGACAAATAATCTATTCAAAAAACGGCTGATCTCGAATATTCCAAATCCGAAATATTCGTTTTGAAGAAATGTTTTTTTTTTGTAAGTACTTTCCAATTTGTACCGCATTCAAACGTCAACATACTTTGATTCACCCAATTCCATATTTAATCCATAACCATTCCACTTCTAAACGTCTATGACACGTGATGGGCAATTGTCCTTCACCTTAGATTCTTCAAAAAAAAAAAAAAAAAAGAAAAAAAGAAGGAAAAAAAAAGCAGCAGGACAATTGGCCTATAATGGCTGTCATCTGATGCAATAGTCCCCCAATTACGAGAGACGTTAAAATAAATGGTTGCCTTGCAGTTTCCACGCACAGACAACCGCATTTATATTCCTTGTCAATAATTTTCTTCGTGCTTAAAGCACCAAGCTGGAGATACCACACTGCATCGGTTATATCCAACCAGTTCTACCTGTCCATCATATATCACATATTCGTTTAGATTCATTGGGTTCCATTTTTTTTATCATTTTCCTGCCTGCCATTTTCAGAATTTATTTCTGAGATGGGTGCGTTGGTAGAAATAAAAAAAAATCATATCTTCGAGTCTTATTCATTTTGCAGATAAGTGATTTTACTGTGTTTTTTAAGTTATTTTTATTTTTATTTTGATCGGGTGGGTGTGATTTTCGTGTATTTTTTCCATCTTTTTTGTTTGTTATTAGATTTTCCTTTTTGATTACGTCGTATTCAGCAAAGACTGAATGCAACTTTGACAGAAAGGAGGAGAAAAAGATGAATAAGACTGCGTAAAAAATTAAAAATATAACGGTAAAAGAAATAGAACTTCAGAAAGAAGAAAGTTAAATGAAAATAAAAGGCTCAAGCAATGAAAGAGAAAAAAGAAGTTGAAGAAAATGAATAAAAGAAATGAAAAATGATAGGAAGAAAAAAATGTGGAAAAAAGATGAAATAAATATAAAAAGAATTAAAAAAAAAACGAGGTTAAAGAAAATAGTCACAAAGAAAAAAAAAACGAGAAAATGTCAGGCCTAGAAAATCAAAGATAAGTTAATCAAGAAGTTGGAGAAAGAAGGGATTTTGAAAGTTAAAAAAAAAAAATTATAAAAAAGAAAGCAGAAAGAAAGAAGAAGAACAAGGATATTGTCGAAAGAACAAAAAAAAAAAAACAAAGAACTAGAAAAAGAAAGAAACGTAAAAAACAAAACAAAAACAAAAAGGAAAGAGACGAAGAAGCAGGAAAGAAATTAACAAGTGAGATGGAGAAAGAAAGAAAGAAAGAAATAAAGAAAGAAAGAACGAACGAAAAGAACGAAAAGAAAAAATATTTCAGGTAGCAAACATTTTGTAGAAAGAAAATGGTGTAAACAAAAAATTGAAAAACATACCCTCGGGAGAAATAAAAGTAAGTAAAAAAAAAAAAATGACCGAACAAACAAAAACAAAAAAAAACACCAAAAATAAGCAAAAAACAAAAGAAACGAAGAAACAAAGGAAATAATTCAATAAATGAGCTGGAGAAAGAAAGAAAGAAAGAAAGAAAGAAAGAAAGAAAGAAAGAAAGAAAGGAAGGAAAAGAAAGAAAGAAAGAAAGGAGAAGAAACAAAAAAGAAAGAAAGAAAGAATGAAAGAAAGAAAAACAGAAAGAAAGGAAAATAAGCAACAGAAAAAAAGAAAGAAAGAAAGGAGAAGAAACAAAAGAAAGAAAGAAAGGAAGAAAGAAAGACAGAAAGGGGGAATACGTAAGTGTTAGAGAGAAGGCAATTACAAAATTGCGAATATATATTTCGAATGTATAAGAAAGTAAAGTGGGTCATAATCGATAAATATAAAAGAAAAGGTAAAGCAAAAAATATCATTATGGAAAAAAGATTAGAGAGAAAGAGAGAGAGATATATATATACATATATATATATATATACATATATATATATATATATATATATATATATATATATATATATATATATATATATATATATAATATTAAACGAAGATATAAACTGAAAACAATTTGAAAGAACAATAGTAGGAAATTTGATAATAAAAAACCGGGAAAAAGAAAAACGTGTGAAAAATATCGAAGGATAAGAATAGCGTTTAAGATAAAAGAAAGAAATAAAAAAAAAGAACGAAAGAAATATTAGGAAAAAATATAAAATAAAAGAAGAAATAGATAATTAAGAAAAACATTATCAAAAGTTAGGAGAAGATGAAGCGCGAAAATGAATAAACAGGAAAATAGATTTGATAGAAAGAAAGGAATAACAGAAAGAAAGAAAGAAAGAAAGAAAGAAAGAAAGAAAAATAAATATGGATATAGAAAGGAAAAAAAATCAAATCGAAAAAAGAGAAGTGAAAAATGTAAATGACAAGAATCTGAAAAGCGCGCGAAATATAAAAAAAAACGGCAGACGGTTTAAGAAGGGGAAAGTTTCAGTAAAATGAGCGAAAATCATGAGAAAATAATAGCAAAAAAAAAAAACGGTCGAAAATGTGAATTAATTCAATGAGCTAGGGGAAGCAGACAGAGTGGAGGGGGGGAGTTGAAGTTGAAGAGAACAGACGCGAACGGAAAAGAAAAAAAAATGTGAAAGGTAAGAAAGAATGAAATGGCATGGCGGACTGCCGTGAGAAAGGGTCGTGAGCCGAGCAGACAGGAAGCCTATTATTTTTCTCAGCAGGTCTTAAAAATTCTTCATAGAAACTTTCATTATTCAGTGAAGTGAAACGAAAAGGCTGGATTTAACAGTCGAGGACGAATTGACGATTGATATCATAGGAAAGAGGAAGGCAAAAAAAAAAAAAAGAAGTGAAAGAAAACAAATGAGAAATTTATGA